GGGGCCGGGCAGCGCCCCCTGCCCCTGGCTGCTCCAGAATATTGGCCGCCCGCCCTGTCACACCTCTGCTGGGCAGGCCTCCCTGCAGGGGGTTTGAAAGTCCTGGGCATTGCACCCTGCCTGCCGTCCCATTCTTGCCAGCTCCTTCCCACCACAGGTCTCTCAGCAGGCTGGAGCCCAGGAGCACAGTGTGGATTGTCACACATCCCCTCCACCCCCACCTCCACCCCGTCCCAGACTAGCTTGCTATTCATGTTGTGTGTTTTCCCAAAGTTAAAGCAATATTCTGGGGACTCTGCGAAGTTGTATAATACTGAGTATTCCTGCAAATGGCTAATCACCAGTGAATGGTCACATGTGGATAGTAAAGAAACTGGAAAAAGGTGGCAGTGCAGGGGGAGGGTCTGAGAGCTGCTGGGTTGGTTTCAGTGGATTAGACATATGACATGCTGTAGACAAGGAGCCTATTGTAAAAAATGAAAAAAAAAAAGTTTGTATAAAGACATATTTTTGTACTACATCGAAAACTCTTCCTGCATGTCAGCAATAAAATTTCATAATGTAGAACTGGTGTCGCGTGGTCCAGAGTCTTCTGTGGGGTGGCCATAGCATGGCAAGGCCGTACGCTGAGTAGCCAGTGGGGAAGAACGGTGACACCGCTCAGCCTCCCAAGGAGCAGGGGCGAGCAGGACTAGCCCACCTGATAACCCCTCCTCCATCTTTCTGCAAGGGCTGGTGGGGTCTCTTGTTCCAGGACTGTCCCTTTGTGGTGCTTACAAGTTGGATGCAGTGCAGGGGGTGATGCACTAGGGGGCACTCAAAGCCAGGGCCTGGCCCCTTAAGGAGCATCCTCACTAGGTGCCCTGGTGTTACTCTTAGTTCCAGACATGTTGCTGGGGTAAAGGTGAATCCCCTGGGAGGGGGCGGGGCGTCTGGGCCAGGTGCAGGGCGGCCTGGCCTGGAGTGGGGTTGGGCAGACACAGCCCCTGGCTTCCACTGGGAATGGA